GATCTGTTGGAATTTATTTCAGCGAATAAACGACATGGTTTTTCCAAAAAACTAGTAACTAGCCATTTTTGAGAGGTAAACTGAATATGGCATGAAATATTTACCGCATTTTACTTGTATTAACAGGTCATTGTCGAAGCGTAGTTTACGCACGGTTACCGTGTTCTACGCATTCACAACATGTTCACAGCGGTCGATATCCACGCTGTATCATATAAAAACGATTACCAAGATTCGTTACGCAAGACCAAGTTTTAAATTAGTTGCATTTTGAAGGGGTGGGCGCTTTGCCGAATGTTACCCCAAATATAAAAATTGCGCAAAAGTGGGGGGTGGGCGCTTGCCCGGGCATGGGCGCTAACGCGGTCGAGTACGGTACATGAATAAATCACCTGGTTCTTCATCAGTATACGTCTTGTTCCATTTTGTTGACAATCCTTCTAAAGAATTCCTGTTCCAATTAACACTCAACCAGAAGTTGTATATTCTTGATGCCCCACATTCCACAAACCAGAAAGGTGCAAATAAAAAAAATCATACTTGTTTGACCCTGTGACCCTTGAATAGGCGCCACTTGCAACAAATGTATTCTAATTTTGGCGCCATGAAGAATTGAAATGTTGCAAAAAGGACGCCTAAATTAGGGTAGCTACGGTATATCTTGTAAAACAAAAATCCCACTCCACTACCAAGTAGAGGAGAAACATTTTGCACAGCCCCCCCCCCCCCCCCGAGTTTTTATTGCTCAATCCCTAGCAACTACTTAGGAGTAGTTTCTTGGTTTCTAATGTCGCATGTGTTTACATTTTCACAGGGTAAGAATATCAAACATCTGCGTCAACAGTCTGGTACGGTTATTATAATGAAGAAAATTCCATTTGATAAAGATTTTCAGATTTGTTCAATAACGGGTAAGATTTATAAGATTTATGGTATTCAAGCAGTGAAATGAAGTAGTCACGAGATAATTGCGAAGTATGAAGAGTATATTTCTAGAATTGCCAATGCAAAAGATTCAGAAACAACTGGTCAGTGTTTAGGGTTGGAATGTTTTTTGTAAGCTATGATTTGCATATTCAAAAGCAAATGACCAATCAGCATTTGCTTCAAAACACTATCCTGTTTCTTACAATTACATTGGGACCCCCCCCCCCCCACTCATAAGGTTAAGGGGGCATGCCGCTTAGCGCTTTGCAAATACTGAATACTATAATTAATGTAGGCATGTTTTTCCATATCTTGTGGTAACCAGCTTCCCCAAGAGGACAGTTTTATGACAATGATGAAACTTTTCAGCATGTTTTTGTGTATACTACTATTATATAGTAGGCAAGGTTGTTTCATTATGTACAGACAAACTAGCAATAATTTATTCCTATCATTTGGTCTTTTATATTTTTAGTCCCCGTTCGGACAAAGTCCGAAAACGGGGACTTATAATTCGGTGTCCGTCCGGAGTCCTATCTCATAATCCTTGGACCGATTCCGTTCATTCTTATGCACATGCAGTGGTTTAGCGATTTGATTCAAAATGGCCGACTGGCAGCCATTTTGTTTTTTGAAAATGTTGTATTTTGGACATGCTTTGTCAGTTTTCATTCAAACTTGGTACATAGATTATACGTGTTAGGATACATGTCCATGATGATTTATTTCACAATTGGATCAAAGATGACCGACTGGCAGCCATCTTGTTTTTTGAAAATATCGTATTTTGGACATGCTTTGTCAGTTTTCATTCAAATTTAGTACATAGATCATACATGTTAGGTTACATGTCCCCGACCGTCCGTGAGTTCCTGAGTCTGTCTGTCCGACCGTCCATCTGTCCGTCTGTCCGTGCGTGCGTGCGTCCGTCAGTCTATCCAACTTCATATTTCAGAATCCTGTGGACCGATTCCATTCATTCTTTGCATGTGCCTAGTACTTTATGTGGGACATGTGCACATGCAGTGGTTAAGCGATTCGATTCAAAATGGCCGACTGGCAGCCATCTTGTTTTTTGGACATGCTTTGTCAGTTGTCATTCAAAATTGGTACATAGATTATACATGTTAGGATACATGTCCATGACAATTTATTTCGCATTTGGATCAAAGATGGTCGACTGGCAGGCATCTTGTTTTTGTTTTTTTATGCGGTATCTTGGATGTGCTCTGTCAGTTTTCATTCAAATTTGGCACATACGTGTACTTTATACATGTTAGAATGCATGTCCATGACAATTTGTTTCCAAATCTGGTCAAGGATGGCCGATTGACAGCCATCTGACTTTTTGGCCTTACTACTATATTTCCACAATTTATGTACCATTTTCATTCGTATTTGGCACATACATCATACATATCAGTGTGTTTCATAATCAGATCAAAGATGGCTGAATAACGACTGTTTTTATTTTGGCCATATTACTATGACACGAAACACGTGTTTTGATGTAAATAAACAATCTATTGTATACGCCACTTAGAACTCAAGTTTCAAGGACACGCTCGCGACAACCCCTCCGCTTTAATATGACGAGCACAAAGAGAACTTAATGGGGACTGTGTCATTTTCAATGACTTGTTAATTGAAAATTCAAAAAAAATTGCCAAAATTTCAGTTGTCAAAAATTTAACTGCTACAATTGTAGTCATGCAACGTGATGAGTTCCCAATAACTGAGTCAACATTAATGTAATATATATTACAGGTACACAGAGTCAATTAGACATTGCATTGAGTCTTATTGCAAAGAAGTTTCCCAAAGTTGACATCACCCGCAGTGCCTCTCCAATTGGTTGTGGATCACTGGAACTTCAGGTAAAAATAACATGATAATGCATACAAGGATAATTTTGTTTCAGTTCTTCCTGAAATGTGATATTCTCTTCTTATTTTACTCCCAATTCGCATAGCCAACATATAATCCAAATCAAACAAAGCTGAGACAACAAAAGCTGATTTATTTTTGGTTGAAATTTGAGCAGTTTGTCACCTTCTAAAAAATGAATCAACAGAATTGTTCTCAAAAATGTTGATCGTCGAAGAGATTCTGAAATATAAGGCTGCCAAAATGGGTTATGATTATCACTTTACCAAGCACACGACAGAACTACAATATACAAGGATGGCTCACAATGTTCAAATGAGTGTTGTGAGAGATTATATATATATATACCGTACTTATCCGGGTAAGAGCCCATGCCTGGGCAAACGCCCACCCCCCACTTTTGACACAATAAAGGAGTTGAGGTCATATCTGGGCACACGCCCAGGGGGTCTTTTTCTACACAAAAAAAAACTATTTTCTATTCGTTGACTGTGGTTGTATTAACAGTTGACTTTCTTGAAGACTGTCGTGATACTTATAAAAAATGTTAATTGCGTAAAACAAGGGGTGAACGCAAAATAGCTGTGACAGCTTTCTGCCTTCAGGGCAGCGCGTTCTGAATCATAACAGTCAGCAAGTCTATAAAAATATATATTAAAGCAGAAATGGTAGTTCTCTTTTTAAAATATGTCGTGGCCCTAAAAATGGCCGGCCGTTTGGTTTGTGCTTCCTTAGTAACTTAGAAACGATTCAGGCAAATCGTAAAAGGAGAGCCGCAAGTGTCGCACTCGATCGGCTTTAGCGCCGTCGACAATGAAACCAATGTTGCAATATTGTAGCAACCTGTACCTGGGAGAGTGGTTGAAATCATGTTATTTTGGCTTTATAAAATATTTTGTAGCAGCTTGCGAATCTATAACTGGGGTCAGCAATTTTGCAATGTCACGCCGAAGACTGCCAACTTTGTTACCATCTTTCATCACCGTCATGAAAACATTCTTCTGTCGTTGGATAAAAAAAAACTTCCTATTTCAAGTCCACCGCGATATCCATATAGTGAGACATTCCAACCACCGGAACTTGCTGAATGATAACTTTCACAGTGATTATAAGCGTCGAGTCTGATAAAAAGCAATGTCACGATTTGACTTTTATGATGAAATACTAGTAGTGATGTCATTATTAGCCAATCAATAAAGCAGATGCATAAAGGTCAAAGACGATTGCTAGACTGTAAACAAAAGCATCGTGTGCCATCACAGCAGAGCGACCCCATTTTTCTTGTCTCTTTATTATGATTAGACATTAATGAAAAATGCCAAGCTGACAGACTGCGAAATCCGTGGATTAAAAGTGCAAATTGTGTGGGACGATATCGACGAACTTCAGGAATAAGTTGTAGGGATTTTGTTCGACGGCTACAGTGATTTGGACATTTGAGGGTTTTAAGTTTGACGAAGATGACAATGAACGTACAAATAAAGATCTGAGAAGTTTTTTTCAAACAGCTATGAATTTTTATAATTTTTACTGTGTAAATTATTATTGATCTTGTATGACGGTTGATGCGTAATTTGTCGAG